AATGCAACTAGTCCTTCATCATATGTCTGAGCAAGTATAAACAACCCAAATCACTTACTCCCAGAGATAAGTTTGCCCTTCATTTATCGGTCGCTTCACAAAGATCCAAAACGGCGGCTCAATCACGCGTTTCTTCAAAAATTTCGCGTGTTTAGCCGATTCACTCACACTGCGTGCTAAAATAGTTCCAGGTAAATAATCAAATCGGCTGTTTTCGAATGAACTTTTGATGTTAAGATGTGGGGAATGTTCCAAGGATCATTAATATGCAACTCTTGCAACGAACTGATGCCTAATTGTCGAGAAATCGGCAGCATTTCATTCAAACAAATCCAGCTAATCAGGAGCCACCGGCGGTGGCGATTAGGAACTGATTTAAGACTGATTAATGGCCGGCGAGTTTTCCCAGAAGGTTAAACTTATCTCTGGGAGCCGAGATCGGCAGCATTTCATTCAAACAAATCCATCCAAATTAGGAGCCACTGGGGCGAAGCTTAGAAATCGATTTAAGATTGAAGTGTAAATTTATCTCGGGAGCCGGGATCGGCAGCATTTCATTCAAACAGATACAACCAATCAGGAGCCACTGGGGCGGAGCTTATGAACCGATTTAAGACTTATTAATAGCCGGTGAGTTTTCCCAGAAGGGCAAACTTATCCCTGGGAGCCGAGATTGTTACTGCATAACAAATACGACCGCGATCTTATAAAAGCGAATTTGTATAACAATACAACACAATAACAGTAATTAAAGCATTCACCATTTGAAAACTCATAATATACTTATCGCCATGACGGCCACCTTCGTTTAGTTAAGCCTCAATTTTTTTGCATGTAAAATGATAGGCGTATATAAAAACAACACAAAATAAAAGATTTTAACCAATAAATAAAGAGTTGGTTTTTTTGTTGAAAGCACGTTAGCACAGAACTACACCGAGACAATGAAGAAATGAATAATGTAACACAGGCCCTATACAGAAACGGGACCAAAATTTGATATTTATAGTACTCGACACAGTTTACACTGATCTCATGCGTAATGAACGGAAGCAATCGCGACACCGGTTTAGTCATGATCAGCCCTGCCCTTGGCCATGTGCTGAACAGCTCTAATGGAGTGACTAGTAACTACAACTAGTGGAACCACGCGCTTTAAGCAGGAAAAAAATATCAAAAAGGTTTTACTACACCCGACCCCTTTACCTTACGTGTGACAGCTTAAATCCATCTTCAATAGTCTGTTGCGATAGAATGCGGATGAGACATTCGACACGGTTATGTAGCGTCTCCTTAAACGACGATAAGTCTTACCACAGCATCTGTCACAAAGATCCGTCCCCGTTAGCCCATGGCAGCTCAATTCCATCTCCAATTGTCTCTTATGATGGAATACAGCTGAGAGATTCCAAAATGTTCTGTAGCGTCTCCTGTAACGCGGACGACCATCCATCTCTGCATTGACAATAATCATGACTGGAGTCACCATTATAGCAACTGTTAACAAAAATCGCATGTTTGTATATCTTTCAGCCGCTCCACAGAGAAATCAGAAAGGTTTCGTTTATTCATATTTACAGGTAGACAGCTGTTGACACCGTAAACATTTTATGTAAAACAAATGAAAAAAAAAACTGTGAAACAATTTTCTTGTTATTGACCGTATATATTATTATTAAAATCCCGTCGACCAGAAACTTTAATAAGCACATCTATACGTATGTAGGCCTATCTATCATGTAGATAGAATTGTTTTAAAGGACGCCATTTTGTATCGTAAAACTACACGCTGAATACGCTGCATAATAGCCCCGTCAGACCGGGGTGGCGTCCTTACTGCGTTTCCACGGCGTTGGAAAATGGGCTGGCTCAAAGCGTGTCAAGATCGCCATAAGCGTGGTGGAAACGCCAGATAACGTGCCGTGGTCTCCGTGGTCGCCAATGATCGCCGAGTCACGGCGTTGTTTTGAGCATGTTCAAAACAAACGCCAAGGTTCTGCGATCTGACTAGAAAGCTTTGAGGAGGTGTCTTTTTTCAAGTTTGTAATTTTTTTGGACATTTTTTTCGTGTTGTGTTCACGTTTGTCGGCGACCTTGTGCATTTTCTGGTCGCCGTACGGTTGCAGCAGCGCAGTAAGGAAGCCGCCCCTGTCTGGCGAGGGCTTAAATGGAACATTACAAAATTAGTATCTTTTATATATTCAAACTTGACATGACAGAATGCCGTTTGGAATGTGAGAAACAATAAATTATCGTGGTTGTGTTATGTCACTAACGGCATATTCATCTCTTTTTTTTAAATCCAGGACAGGAGCTGTAATCTGTTCTGTTCTGTGTAATAGTCCGAAGACTATGCTGTATTTGCTTAATAGCGTGGAGAATATACCGTAGCTATGTAATAGTTTAGAGAACTATAATGTTAACCACAACTGGTTATACCCCCGTCAGATAGGGGTGGCGTCCTTCCTGTGCTGCTGCGGCGCCGGAAAACGATCTCAAAGCGCCTTAAGATCGCCATAAGTGTGGTAAAAGCGTGGTGGAAATGCCAGATATAGTGCTGTGGTCGCCAATGATCGCCGAGTCACGGCGTTTGTTTTGAGAATGTTCAAAACCAACGCCACGTGAGAACGTGATGGGGTCGCGAAGATGGGGTCGCGTTTATGTAGGTCTTAATACGACCTTAGCGCGGTTACTAAGCTTGCATTATGCTCATATGGCGGCCATTTTTTTTCATGTACGACTTGCTACAAAGCCAGGTGCTTCAAAGTTTATACACCAGTGTGTATGTCGTCATCTTGAAATTTCGAAAATTCTGACCAGCTTATATAATCGCCGTGATTTGGTGGTAGAAACGCACGTGCAGTCGCGATAGACGTAGAAGACGTGTGGTAAGAACCGCAAGAGCGTGGTTAGAGCTCCGCGGGTTCGCCGATGACCGCCATTGCCAAGCCAGTATATCTCAATAGAAACGCCATAAGCCCAGAGAGGTCGTGACGAGCGCGCCGTGAGAACGTGGTATAATCGCATAGGTCGCGGTAAGAACGCGACTTTTTTTTCAAGTTTGTAATTTTTTCGGGACATTTTCTCGCGTTGGGTTCACGTTTTCTGGTCACCGTACGGTCGCAGCAGCGCAGTAACGACGCCACCCCGGTCTGACGAGGGTTGTATCTGTTCATGGACACGTTCGCATGGACTTCTCTACAAGATGGCAACGATTTCGAGGTTTCATTCCCAGGTCATGTAAAATTATAAACTATACTTGTCTTCAAGTAAACAAGGTACTCATGTCAACAATAAAAAATCAACATTATTTAACAGATGGACTCTCCCGGACACCTGTTACCACTGTTTGTCGTGTATTTTGTACACGGTGAACAGTCCATTTGCTGATTACACCATTTTGCCTATACCGTTTTTTTAGGACTTCGAATTTTGTCTAATGGTTTGGATTGTTCGTACTTGGTTTTATTTTATTTATACAACAGTATATTTTAATTACTTGCATGCTATAATCGCATGCTATATGTTCAAATTCAGTTATTTAAACATGCATTATGCAAGAGCTAAATCTGTCTGTTGCAGGCCTCTCTTTAGTCCTGAAATGTTATCTAAATTATTAATTAGACATTAATTAACTTATCCAGACCATAATCACCTCTCGATGTCAACGCTAGCCTGCGATATTTAACGGTTTGGAATACATTTTTTGAAAAATAATTAAACCTAAAAATGGATAATCGAGACTTTGTTTTTTATCGTACCGACTTTAGTAATGATGATCGTGGTTAGCCTAAAATTCGAAAGCTAATATTATAGCGAGAATTGTCAACTCTTTGTCTAATCTCCCATAATGGCCCTTTAATAAAACAATTATATATTTTTATACCTTTATTAAGGTAAAATCAGAGTACCATCTGTCACAACATACAATCTCAAAATGTTTATTTTATATATGTGTAACCATATGACAAAATAAAAGTAATTGCTTGTATACATATAATTAAATGTAGATATTTGCAATAAATCCATCAATCCCAGATTTGATTACTGGGTTTTCACACTGTAATCACATGACACATTGTTTGTATACTTATAATTAAATGTAGATATTTGCAATAAATCCATCAATCCCAGATTTGATTACTTGGGTTTCACACATCTCCATTATTTCTGGCTGTTAGATAGCAAATTGAATTTGACTTGTCTAAAAATTTAAAAATCTGTACATTTCTGGGTCAATTGTGACAGGTTTATAAAAAAATGTCAATCAACAATTTGCTTTATCCAAGGGATGAACGAAAAGATTCTATTGTTGCCAACAAATTGGAATGAAGTGAAATGGGGTTTAACGTCTTACATTTCTTTACCGACTGGGTTAATGAAGGCGGGCCTACATCACGCAGTGACCAGGGAAATGTTGACCGGATAGTTGCGGTAAGGTCTACTCTTATTTCGATTTTCGACTGTCAAGGGGTCCGATGTGATTTCCGTTGGACTTTGCTACGTGGAATTATATAGCACCATCTCTTTTCTCTAAACACGGAGGGTTAGGAGATGAGTTGTGTTATCTAGTCTTTGGCGTGTACGCATCCGAATAACTAGACACTGTCCTTGCCAGGCCCCAGTCAATCGAACAAGAAAATCACACGGAACTTTCTATGTCTACCAGGGGCATAGTGACCAATGATTTCGCAAAAAACAATATTTATACGTATGTGAAGGGAAGGGGACGGGGGTCCCTCCCAGGGCTGAGGAGTAATATTTGTGTCATATCTGATCCAAGGTGTATGTTTGAGACTGGTTAAGCACTAAGATTATGATTATAATGTTGGAAACCGTATTGAAACTGCGTAATTTTTGCCATTTGCGAGGGGGTGCAAAAACTCAAAGCCATGACGCCAAATGCGTCATTGCGTCCCTCTCACCTAGACCTTGGTTAGCAATACTGCGTCGTTATCGCTGAGCCACGGCTGCTCTGAAAGAAGCACAAGAAGAATCAATCGAAATTTTATCAACAGTCCTTGTTGTTATTATTATTGTTAATATTATTATTATTACAGCATATTTATAGTGCGCCCTTTCACACAAGATGCTCAGAGGCACTTTACAAAGTGACAATAAAAAACCAAACAAAAAAAACAACAAGAGTCGGTTAAAATCCTGTTTAAAAAAGTGTTTTAAGTTGTTTTTTTAAAAGAGTATAGAGATGTATAACATCTTAAACCAAATGGTAGACCATTCCATAAAATGAAATGAAATGGGGTTTAACTGTTCTGCTCCGACTGGGCTAATGAAGACGGGAAATATTTTATTCCATAAAACAGGCGCTTATTATAAATGGTTTGGATTTTTTAAACATACATTAAAGGCTCAATACCACTCTTGTTGTAACAGAATAATATGTCCCAATCTTTATTCTGGTCAACAAATTGTACTATTTTACAATATTCCAATTAATTGATGATACAAATTTCATCTTAAAACACACAATTTAAAAAATTGGAAAACTTCAACTAAATGATTTGAAAAGCCTAACATAAACCTTTTCAAATGTAACTTGGATTTAAAAATAGGATGTAATGGATAATTTACACAATAGGTAGGACACTTAAACATCTAATACTTAAAATAAGGCTAATATTTATTTACTGGAGCTGTCAAGCCAGCAAGAGTGTCATTGTCCCTTTAAACAAGAGCTAAATCTGCCAATTGTAGGTCTTTCTTTAGGCCTGAAATGTTATATAAATTATTAATTAGACATTAAGTAACTTATCCAGACCATAATTAACTCTCGATGACATCGCTAGCCTGCGATATTTACTGGATTAGAAGCGGTCTGCTACTTCTGATTAAATCAAACAAGAGCATCGCTAACGCTGCAATATACGTCCACATTCCTGCTTTGATTGATATGGTACTTTTTAAAATGAAGAGAATGAAATATGAAATGGCTATAATATGACAAGAGGCAAAGAAGGCTAGGGGTTGGGTTTGTTTTGCCAAATTTACAGACAAAATATTAACAAAAAAGGGTGCGTGACACTGCCCCAGAGGGTCGGGGCATGCATCAAAACAAATAGTTGCTGTCTTTACAGTATAAGGAATAAATATGCAAAGTTCCAAGATGATCCATTCAGAATTTCAGTCTGTAGACGATACATACAAAAAATGGCGTGGGTCTGCCCCTGGGGGTTGGATATGGAACAATATAAATAGGTACCACCCTGTTATTGAAATGATTGATATGCTGAATTTGAACAAAATCTGTTAATTATTGGAACCTGTAGAGTATTTACCGATAAAAACTAACAAAAAAGTGGTCTGGTACCACAACCCTGGGGGTCTGGACATGCACCAAAATAAATAATTGCTATCCATACAGTATAAAGAATAAATATGCCAAGTTCCAAGATGATCTATTTAGAATTCCAGCCTGTAGACAAAAAAACCCACAAAAATTGGGCGTGGCTCTGTCCCTGGGGGTTGGACATAGACAAATATATATATAGGTACAACCCGGATGCTGGATCATTCCGAATTGGATCCAAATCTGTTAATATTTGCAACCTGTATATCATCTACAGCCAAAATATCAACAAAAAGTGGGTGTGGCCTCACCAAAAATGCAGGTGGTGGTGGGGGTGGGGTGGAGGAGTGGGTCGTGCACCAACAGCAATAGTTGCCGTCTTTAGGGTATAAGGAATAAGTATACCAAGTTCCAAGATAATCCATTCATAATTGTGACCTTCGGGCGCTAAAGGCAAAAATTGGGCGTGGCTCTGCCCCTGGGGGTCGGGACATGCAGTTGTCTTCCTTAGGCTATAAGGAATACATACCCCAAGTTCAAAGACGATCCATTAATCATCGTGGCCTGTAGGCAACACACAGAGACACAAAGAAAATGGGCGTGGCTCTGCTCCTGGGGGGTGGGCAATCACCAAAAATCAATAGGGGTCATCCTTAGGGTATAAGGAGTAGGTATGCAAAGTTTCAAAGGGATCTGTTAAGAATTGCGGCCTGTAGGCGAAACACAAGACATACAAACATTGGGCGTGACTCTGTCCCAGGGGGTCGGACATGCACCAAAAATAATAGAGGTCAGCCTTAGGGTATAAGGTAGAAGTATAAAAAAGATTAAGCATTGCGGGCTGTAAGTGACACACAGACATACAAAAGGAAAATGGGCGTGGCTCTTCCCATGGGGGTTGGGCATTTACCACAAACAATAGGGGTGTTCCTTAGGATAGAAGGAATAAGTTTGTAAAGTTTCAAGGTGATACGTGGTTCAGGGTGGATCAATTTGACCGAAATTTTCAGCAAATTCCCTTTACATTATCTAGTTTTTAACTATTATAGTACGAACTGCCAGCTGTTTATCTAATCTCCCATAATGTATCTTTAAAAGACAATATTTGCGGCATTTAATTTGTGAATATTGTGATCAAACTGCGTAAAACAACACCGGGTTAACCACGGAGCATCAGGGGACCGCACAAAAATCTCAGTTGCACAAAAAGCCACATGAGCATGGTCGGATCGAGAACTCCGTTGAGGCACCCTTCAATCCATGGTCGGCACGTGTTGCGGTAAACATCCGAGAATTTGGTGTAATCCGTTGTGCAGCGCAATACTTTCGACTGGTCCGTGTTTCTTTTTTTGTTTATTTAGCAGGAAACGTTTATTAAGAAAACGTATTAAAATCATCTTTAGCGGCAAAAAGTTGGTTACAACTTGGTTTCTAGAAGGTTGAACCCAGAATCTGTCAAAAATGTCATTGGTAATTCTCGAACTTAATTTTTTCTTTTTGTGAATCGAGGGATTTTAGTTTCTGGACTCGTATTCTTCGACGTTTGACCCCTAAATTATAATTATTTGATAATCCGGTTACTATGTGGTAACTTTACCGCCATCTCGGATATGACTCTCCGTATCAAGGTCTCCCCATTATTTATCAGACACCGATTTCAAAGTAGGTTTCATGTAGCTACATTTATCTATGTGGAATAATACTGCCGAAGTTCTGGTCACTTGTGTTAGTTGGTGGCCCCCACATGCTGAAGCCCTCAGGCCCCAACCATGGTTAATCCGGCACTGGAAATAATGGAAACTATTTAGATGAAATTTGAAATTGTTAAACCTGGTGTAGCTAGAAATTAATGCAAACTGGGGTTCTTGGTATGTTTAGGATTAAATACCATACGGGCGACAATTCCTCGTTTTACAATAACAAGACAAAGAAATTTGTTTTCTGTTCCTTGTTCGAATACATACATTATCCTTGAAATTTGGCCGGTCTTCTTAAACATACATTAGTTAAGAATTTTATAAAGACTTGGTCATTCTTGCTATAATAATTCAAAAATAGATGATAAAAAAAAAAAAATAAATATTGAAAATTTCAGTCAAATAATTTATTCTGAACGGAGTTGTCACTGTTTGGACGATAAATCCATCCACATATTCTCGATTATCAAGTAACATTCTCGATGGCTACTGTACCCTCGATTAACAGGCCTTTCGTCGGCAGAACTAACGGTAAACATTAGCTTGGTCGGCTATTTATTGATTTAATTATTAAATGGGCGACTGTTTAAATCCAAGCTGTATCCAGGCCATCCGAGGGCCTACATGGTTGATTTTAAGCTTGTCGTGTAAATAAAGGTCTAATTAATAATTTCTATACCATATGAAGTCAAAAGAAAGACTTGCAAATAGGCAGATTTAGCTCTTAATTGATGTATCTTTAATTTAGTTCATATTCTATGTGTCAGTCAGCTTTGTGTTGATTTTCTTGAGTTAATTAGCTTGTTTGTGTTTTTCTGTGGTGTTGTAAATACCCTGAACATGGATGGAAAACGATTTTATATGGTATACTTCGACAAGTTGGTCGTGAAGTTGGGGAAGTCGGTGGATTAGTTGGGTAAGTGACGTCGGTTGTTGGTAGTTTAGTTGCAGCTTGACTGAAAGAGAACAGAATGATTTTTTACATGTCGTCAACACTTTGAGATTAAAATACAATAATTTGTATTTTCATGGTTACGTGTGCAATGCAAAGGGGTGCATCTTGCCAGAGCAGCATCTTGTCCTCTTCGAATATCGCTTGACAATGGATATTTTATGCGCACTACAAACTTTCCTTGTGAGACCCACAGGCTTTACCATAGAGAACTGGGCTTAAAACCATAAAGACTTTTCTTCGACCACGCCAGCATTTGAACCTGGATAATTCTACGGCACTAACTATCCAACCAACCTTATTTTAAGAAGATGTTATTTTAAGTCAAATTTAGATATCAATATATAGTTAAACGCCCTGAAATTGAGATATTAAAAACGTTAATGTAACAATTATACTATTGTTGAAATTTTCTTTGATTTGTCTCCCCACAAGCAAATACGTGAGGTCCGAAATATTTTATTTAGTCAATTTCTGAACAATCAAAATATTACACTTCGATCGAAAGCCTGATTTTTTTTTATCTTATCCCATACCTGACTATGAACTTTAAAGTTGCAATTTCATATTTTTAAGTTATATTTTTAAAATTTATTAAAATAAAGCCTTAAAATAGATGGTATCTATAAACAGTCCTACCTTTTTAAAGAATAATCCTATTAATCCTATAATTCACTATTGCCAGTTGAGAAATTGACAAAAATATCATTTCCATCTTAAAATTCAAACGTTTGAAGATAACTACTCCATGGTGGAGAATAGAAAACAAGGGAGGTAATTGGAAGGTAATTGTGTTATTATTTCCGATGTAAATGAGTTTTAAGTGTGAGAATGACACCTATGATCGTATAATAGTGAGTTGACAACCTATTGAGCAAAAGACATAGAAATTATTATGTTTTGACTTTCTTAGAAAATATGAAATTGTAACTTTAAATATTTATTTTTGAAAAAATCAGATTTTCAATGAAAAAGTTCACTTACTTATCGACACAATAGATACCATGACTGGTTTTACTGCAGGTTTGATCCTCTTTACAGACGTCACCGTTGCATTTACAGACACCCCCTGCACACATTAGAGGTGCATTACACTGTACTTTATAACACGGATCTAAAAGACGTGAAAGAAAATGGTGTTAGGCTAAGCGCCCGACCGAGACAATAAAATATGACAATTATACAATTAAAGACTTGGAAGCAAACCAAGGGCACTTAACGCAAACTAGGGGTGTTCACCAATAATTATCTCTAATTTTATGCATAAGATGGCCAGATTTATTACGGAACCTATGTTATAAAAACCAAACACTATTTCTTTTATATTGTCATATCCTTTAGGTCTACTGGGCTCTTTTAAGTACTGTATTATGCCATTCTCCACGCAAGTCTCGCTATCCAGGATTCGACCCTGTTGGGGACTCACGCATCACACCCGTTGACACAATTGGTGGTGCCATGTAGTTAGTGAAGTCTTGTAAGTTGTCTAGAAAAATAATGTCATATACTCCATTACTCAACCAACTTATTCGTAGTATTATTAAGGAATAGTGGTCTGAAGCCTTCTTGGGGTCTACGTGTTAATTGAGTTACTTCCCTTGATTAATAAAAGGCTTTGATCCTAGATGGAATTCTGGGATGGAGTAAAATGTAAGATGGCTGTTTTTAGTTAGTCCTTCTGATTGTCATAAACAATCCAGACCATCTTCTGGCCTATACACTCCAATACCACAATATCAAACCCTCTAGATCCAGAATATTCCTGTGAACTGCTTCCGGATTCTTGTCTATTGAAAGCGTGTCTAATTTATCTGTCATTTCTTAAATATTGCGGTTATAATTTGTATTTTGTTCTATTTCCATTTCCGTCTTCATTAGCCCAGCTTTAAAACCCATTTCATTTCATTTCATTTCTATTTCCATTATTACTTTCAATTTTTTGTAGTCAGTTTAGTTTCGTTAACATTTTGACATTTTACAAATGTTACGCGGTAATGGCGTCATAAATCTAACGCACATTTACTAACAGATGACTGATTGGGGGCATGTTAAATGTTGCCTTTTTCATAACCCACAGACTTGGCGACATTTTCCTGTCAAAATTATTCTAGACATATTTTGAATAAATAAATAGGCTACTTTTTCGTGATTTGCCCTAATACTGCCATATCGATTGATTTGCCCTATTTGTTTTCAATGTTCATTCATCAGTAGAATAAAGTTTTGTTTTTGGTTTGTTTTGGTTTATAAACAATATTTGTCATAAACCGACAGACATGACGACATTTCACACACTGTGAACTCCCCAATGATACATTTTTGCAAGAGATGGACGGATAACAGTGAAAATTTATAGAGCTCTTCCTCGCATTGTCCCAATGTTTGACATCGAATTTAAAAACGTCCGTTAAAACTGTAGCCTCTACGACCACAAGATGTCCGGAAAAGGGGAATAACTCCGAAACGGAAAGTCATGGAACGCTGATGGACAGGGAACAGCCCGCCTGACGTTTACAAGGTTTTCGGCTCAGGGGGCATAACCAAATTCAAAGAAACTAGGTCCGATGCGCACTAAAATCAAACCATTCCAAACCAAATAGGGTCCACAAACTTTGCACATATTTCACTCCTTGCGCATGGCTCTGTGATCCGATGTCAGATATATGTGCATCCAAGGTCTTTCGACCTCTAACGCATATTTTAAGTTTCATCAAAAGCCGATAGCAAATTTTAACCTGTAGAGAGAGAGAGAGAGAGAGACAGAGAGAGAGAAAATGGGGTTTAACGTCCACTCGGCACAAACTAGGTCATTTTGGGACTAACATATGGTTTAATTTTATTTCAATAATTCGTTTGCGCGTAGGGGTCTTTAGCAGTGGGAGGACCCGGAGAAAACCCACGAGGTTGGACAGGCGACCCTACTCCTTGTCATAACCTGTAGAGACACAGGTGGACGTGGGTTACGGTATAAATACCGTGTTTGAAAAATCTTGAAAGCATAACATATGTCTATACTACTCTATGTTGTCTAATCAATTTTAAGTTTATATATCTTTGCAATCCTGTCAAATATCATTGATATAAATTTATTGATTCCAAATATATAGGCATGGAAAAATTAAAAAATATAAGAGGGGGAAGGATAGTGACAATTAGGTGGAACCGTCCCATGGGGCATAATATGGGACTTTAAGAGGGCGTTCACAATGCAGAACTATACCAATTTTAAATTTGTTTTGCCTTTATCCAATTAGTTATGACGCCTAACTGAAGAATAAGATTAAAAAGGGGGGGGGGGGAGTGAATCGTTCGCCCAATCCCCAAAGCCCCTTCCTGCCTCATAACACAAAACCGGTGATTTGGAAATAAAATAAAATTAAATAGAGTACTTCTACACCGACTGTACTAATAAAGACGGGTATACGCCATGATGTGTCCTATGTAAGGGGATTTTTCACGGACAGAGGCGCTACGGCCTACTCTTATTTCAAATTCCAACTGTCAGGGGTTCTTTTACGTGCACGCGATCGCTTTTTCGACCTATTAGAACGACTAAACACTGCACCACTGACAGGGGGAACACCCGTCGGAAAACCTTCTTTTCCAACACCGGAAGCGAACCCGAGACTTCCTGGTTACCAAGCCAGCGATTTATTCACCCAGCAACCGCGGCTCATGATGATTTGGAAGCTTGACCCGATATAAAGCTTAAATAATATCAAAAATACTTTACTTGTGTCGGTAAAATATTTCATAAGTTTAATGGGAAAAGACACTGTAATCTTTCCTTTTTTATAATTACCTATTCACTTTCATGCATGACGTAATGTAGTCTTACTATATAATGTATTATTCTTTTTTTTAAAAAAAAAGGCCAAATCAATCAATATGGCAGTATTAGGGCAAATGCACGACAAAGTAGTCTATTTATTTATTTAAAAAATATCTAGAATAATTTGCTTTTGTACGTAAATTATTATAAAATATTTGAAAGAAAAATGTCGTCATGTCTGTGGGGTATGAAAAAGGCAAGATTTAACATGCCCCCAATCAGTCATCCGTTGCCAAATGTGCGTTAGATTTGTGACGCCATTACCGCGTAACATTACAATTTGTGAAATGTCAAAATGTTAACGAAACTAAACTGACTACAAAAAATTAAAAGTAATAATGGAAAGAGAACAAAATACAAATTCTAACTTCAAATTTTTAAGCAATGCCATATACATTAGCATTTGTACATGTGTAAATAGGCAATTTAAGTAAGGCGTCACATGCATAGAATAATCATATTAGCATGCGCATTATTATAGGTTAGAGAATTATGACGGAGATCCCCCTCCATATATTCCCGTCATTAATTTATTATTATAATAATTATGAGTTAGAATTATGAAAAATCCAAATCACTTTCTAAAATATATGACCAGGATTCTTATAAACGCAAATTTGTATATTAATACAAAAAAAACCATGCATCAAACCATTCTCTATTTGTACATGGTTGTGCTAATATCTTCGGATAATCAATAAGAAACTTGACGTTTTCGCAATTAAAATTATAGACCTATGTATTGTGCAATACATTACACAGTAGGCCTAATAATAACTAAATAGTTAAGTAGTCGATGCAGTGTGTACGCTGGTCTCACGCTAATAATCCCAGATAAACAGAAATGAAATGAAATGGGGGTTTAACGTCCTACTGTTTTGCTCCGAACTGGGCTAATGAAGACGGACATACGCCATACAGTGTGTTATGAGGGTAATTTTGCCCGGACAGCGGCACTACGGCCTACTCTTACATCGAGATATCTTTTATGTGCACGCCAATGTGTTCACTAGAACGACTAGACAACTATCCTTGCCAGGTCCTGCATTACTGACAAGGGGGAACCACGCCGGAAAATCTGGATCAACTTTCTCTGCCAATGCAGGGATCGAACATCCGACCTCCAGGTTAGCGAACCGACGTCTTACCCACTTAGCCACTGTGACCCTCTCCCGTCCGACAAGATACCGTTTTAAACCAAGGCTAGTTATGTACATATTAAAACCAATTGACTTTGATATGACAGTTATATAGTAGGAGATTTGTGAACCTACAAGCTTTTAGTAAGAAGGTAAAACACCCCAAGAAACAGCGGTTGCAAGGCAAAATACGCCCACATTTTGCTCGGGATGGTCAGAGAACAATCAGGGGCCATAATCCAGGAAGTTAAGGTCCGATACATATCAATTTCGTAAGAAACCTACATCTTTAGGAGATACACCTATATGTCAATTTTCGTTAAAATCGAATAAAAATTGTGACCTGTAGAGTGTCCAAATAAACAAGATGTGAACGGACGGACACGCGGACGGACAGATGGACGGACAGGGGCGACGAAAATGTGGGCGTATAAAAATTCTTACCACAGCATCTATCACAAAGGCCTGATCTCTTTACCCTACTACATTTTAAGTTCTTCAGATATTTGCTCTTATGTTGGAATCCCGGTAAGCTTCTCTCGTAATGACCATGGGTTTTCTCACAGCATCTCTCACAGAGACCCGACCTCTTTACACTATGGCAGTGTATTTTCTTCAGGTTTAGTTTCTTGTTCTCGAATACGGCTGATGGTTTCCGCACGATTCTATGGTTTCGACTGTAACGACGATGGCGAGCTCGACTGTGCGCGTCGACAGCAACCATGACTACAGCCACCAAAAGAACAATGGTCAACAGAAACCGCATGTTGGTGTATCTTTCAGCTTCTCGACTATACTGAGCAGAGAAACCAGAAAAATTAGCGATTAGAACAGAGATCCAGCGTCTTTTAAAGAAATTTACAGCAAGGTGCCCACGTGACCCTCGATTGTTCCAATCAAATACCCGGAAATAAAACTTAAATTTATGCCTATTTAGTGACGATGCAAAATTTGAAGGAAGGAAGTAAGCCTTAATAAGATTTTGATTGGCTAAGCTAAACTTTCATGCACACCCACACAGATATTGGGTGAACTAATTAAAGGGACATTTTGGTGTAAAAAAAATATGTAAACTTAATATTACTTCTAAAGAAAATGTTTACAAAACATCTGTTGTAATCAACCAAATATGGGAGTAGGATTATCCAATTTTCGAAACATTGGGAAATTTAAATTAGCCAAGTTTCAAGTTTCGACATTGAAAACACGAATTATTTGTCAATTCAAATCAACATTGGCCTTGTGATCTTACAGGGAAAAGATGGGCTTCTGATATCCAATATTCAAGACAAAATAAACATTTTGTCTTTGGTACACGAATCGTGTACCATAATGCGTTTCGGTGCCATTTGGAACAAGCGACTCAAAGAACGAGGCTAGACATATTCCACAAATCATGTCAAGTGGTGACGCTATATTCTTATCTGGAGAGCTTGCGCAATAAATACCATCGGTTTAGACTGGAATAACCAGACTCTAAAGATTGCCTTCAATTGAGACTTCTGGCGTATTTCGCCGAACAAAACTGATTAGAAATTACAGTAAAAACAGAAACGATTGAATGTAAATCAGTTTATATACATTCATATTACATTATTATATGCGTTGCGACCCATTTGTGTCAATTTCTAGATCCCAAATATTAGCGATTTAGCTCCTTTAATCTTTTATCATGGGCATATTTGAAAAATTGGCTATTTCTTGGCAGTGGAACAAGTTAGAAACAATTGTTTGTTTGTTGTTGATTTGAATCAGAAATCAAATGTTCAAATAACGAAAGAGAATCATTTGGATAAAATATTTCTGGAACATTAAATTAGTTTACTATCATGAAAATATCATTGGGCATCAGTTGGTGAAAATGTTATAAAAATCGAATCATACTCTTGTATGAGCAAATAAAAATGGAAAAATGACTAATATCTAATTGATCGCATACATTTACTTTATTTTATTTGATTGTACTTTGTTTCTGGTGATGTAAAAATGTAGTTTTGTTGATTGAAATCAAAATAGTAACAAAATATGACAGTCTGAAACAGGATCGAGTATCCACTGGTAAGATTAGTATGGAAGACCAAACAGCTCTTTATTCATAGTTCTTAATTCATAGACCTTAATTCTTAGTTCTTCACTTGTAGTCATATTTCGACATTTGTACACTAAAATTAACATTTGTATCTTAAAATTAATATTTGTTTTACAAATCAGTCATTTGTCATATCAGATTTGTAAAGATATAAAGATAAAATTCATTTTAGTAAACCAAAAAAATAATCTACATTTCATCATAGACATACAACGAAAAACAAATTTCTAAATACAAATCTCCAAATACAAATCTTGCAAAACATTTCTCCACAAAACATTTCTTCAATAACATTTCTACAAAAACATTTCTACAAAAACATTTCTCGAAATTCATCGAACCGGAACATTATGACGACATGAGCGGAAGTGAACCTGACATACAATAAGTCACCATACAACAAAGGAGGATCGAGCAAACATATATACAATTAGAAAAATTGCTCGATGACCCCGACTTTAGTGAACTCGCGTATGTGTTATGTCTCTCTCCCTCTCTCTCTATATAGGTCTATTGGTTAATCTGATCTAGCTATAAATTGAAAGTAGTCTTTTTTCAGAAATTAGGTTTTTTTGATAGCAACATATTTCTTTGGACAAACGAAAGAGGGATTTATCTCTTCTAAATCATGTAATCATGAATGTGCCAGTAAAATAGCCAATACTTGTATATTCAAAGAGCGATAGACAAATACTTTCCGGTGAAGCATTATACGATAATTGGAACTACGTAATAAGACGCATATTTTGACTTTTAAGTACCCCCCCCCCTCACTAAATAGAGTTCAGACGATCCAGATTATATCTGTTTTAAACAAGATACGTAAATATGAATATGTCAGAAAATATTTTACAATTTTGAAAATGTATTCGGACCTTTTTAATGATATGCATCCCGATATCTTGTATTTTGTGTTATGGCCGGTATTTTGACGTTAAATACCCCCGCCCCCTCCTCATTTTATACATGTTAGTGCCATTTCAAATTTGGTCTTTTTTAAGGTATGTAAATACAAATGTGCAAGAAATTAATTTACATTTTGTAGCAAACAATAAACATACTTTTCAGCTGTATATGAACAGATATCGAGAATTTCTTATTAAGATCGGATTTTTTACTTTAAATATCCCTCCATCCCCACCCCACCCCCGCCAACACACACTTAATAAAGTTTAGCACCGTGGAACTTTGATCGTTTTTAAAGGTATGTAAATATATATGTGCCAGAAAATAACATCAAAAGTTGTACGCTATTAAACTCTATTAATTGATTGGGAGGGGTGGGTGGGGTTTTAAATGTCAAAATACGGGTCATACTACGACATTCCAGATATCACACAGAATACCACTGAAAAGAAGTTTCATTTACCTTTTCAGAAATGTAAATTATATTCTTGCACATTTAAATTTGCATAGCTTGAAAAAGGTATTACAGTTGGGTGACGCTAAGTACTATTAAGTTAGTGTGTGTGTGGGGAGTTGGGTGACGTTAAATACTATTAAGTTAGTGGGGGTGCGGGGTAAAAGTTAAAATACGGGTTATCGTGTATTGCATGAGCGGAAAGTATTTATTTCTTTATCCCTTCTCAATATATTACTTATTCCCTGGCACATTCATGATTACATGATTTAGAAGAGATAAAATACCCTTTCGTTTGAGAAAAAAAATATGTCGCTATCAGACAAAACCTATTTTCTGAAAATAGACTACTTTCAATTTATTTTCTTTCTCGAAGGCCGACCCGATTAGCAATACTACGCACGTGGTTTCACTAGGTTCGCGGTCATCGAGGAATTTAATATATGCTTGCCCGATTGCCCTTTATTGTATGGTGACTTATTGATTTCTACTCATGTCGTCATAATATTCCGGTTCGATGGATTTCGAGAAATGTTTTGGGAGAAATATTATTGAAGAAAATGTTTTTGGAGAAATGTTTTGCAAGATTTGTATTTGGAGATTTGTATTTCGAAATTTGTTGTTCCAGATTTGTTTTTCGTTGTATTTCTCTGATAAAATGTAAATGTAAGCTAATTTTTGATTTTCTAAAATAAATCTTAAATTTATATTGAAATACAATTAAAATACATTTTACAAATCTGAAATGACAAATGTCTGATTTGTAAAACAAATATTGATTTGTAAAACAAATATTGATTTTAAGATACAAATGTTAATTTTACTACACAAATGTCGAAATACGACAACAAATGAAGAAATATGAATTAAGGACTATGAATTCAGAAATAAGGACTAAGAACCCTGAATAAAGAGCTGTTTGTTTTTCCATAGATTAGTATCGCACGGGAAATGAAATGAAAAACGTCCTACTGTTCAGCTCCGACTGGGCTATTGAAGACGAGCATACGCCATACAGTGTGCTATGAGGAAAATTTTACACGGCCTACTCTTATATCGAATTCTAACTGTCAAGGCATCTTTTACGTGCACGCCAATGTATTTACGGGACCTCGGTTTTTCGTGCCATTCGCATGAACAGACAGCTGTCTTGCACCACTGACAAGGGGACACCACGCCGGAAAATCCCGATGATCTTTCTCGTCCAATGCAGAGATCGAACACTCGACTTCCAGGCTAGCGAGTCAGCGTCTTATACCCACTATCGTGGTCCCCGAGTATCGTACGTAAGTAACAAACGAAAACTACAACTAAATGGAAACGTGTGTTCAGAATGGATTAGTATGTGATAAATGTTAATTCTTTTCGGTATTTTGAAAATGATTACAGATCAGATGATGGCTATTTAATTCAAATAGGAAGAAATACAATTTTGCTAGGACCCGGGAACAGACTTAACGATATACTGATAAGGGGAAGACTAGAAATTATTGGTAATGATGTAAAATGCCATACAAAATATTTAAGACGTAAGACATCTTTTTATAAAATGTCAATTGTTTGGAATTCAGCGACATTTGAGAAGGTATTTTGATGGGGGCGGGGGTATTGGACCGGCCATGGAGCGATGATAATCATGTTGTATGTGGCCGGTGGCTTTAACGGGCCGCCACGCCATCACTGGAGTCTAGAATGGGCTGGTATAATAGACTTTTTGGGCCGGGTTTGCTGGGTATGGGCCGGAATTCGGAATCCTGCAATGGGGATTCCCAATTTCATCCGAAAATTTCATCGGATTCAGCCGACACTATCGCCCGCAAATTTACTAATTATTAAATCACCTGCACCCTGTTTGTGGGGGTACGCCAGAAACGTCTGCCAATGGTTCGTATATCCAAAAAAAATTCAATTTTAAGGCCTCAGTAAATTTTGGTGATAGCTGGTCTGCTGGCTGAATTTGACAGAGATTATAATCAGATATGCCACCAAATCGCATATTTGGGGTTCATTTTTCAAAATTTTCCTAGGGGACAGCACCCGGACCCCACGTCCGGGCTCCGCGGTCAGTAAAAGGGGCCGCTCCGACACGGGAGCCCGGGTCGGTTCCCGGCCCCAATCCGCCCCTGGCTGTGGGTATAAGGTTCCCCTAGGAACTCCGGGTGATGTATCTAAAACTTAAACCCCGCACGTTCCTTATAAAGAGGATACGCGTATGGCCCACGTGCTTCATTTGTCTGATTGGGCAGTTGCACAGAAGCTACCCTGCATTTGTACACAATGGTCTAATATGGGCACCAAGAAGGAGGAGCGGATGACAGGTGTCCACTTCTCTAACGCGTGAAATTTCATATTTGGA